AAAATTATGTTATGTCAGACATTTGTGCAGTCATCGTGAATGTGTGGCTGGAAATAATTTTGAGATTCAGTATATATTTAGAATAACCACAATCTATGACCCCATGTGTCATCCTTTAACAAAATATATTGTTTGCTATGATAACATTCTCTACCACACATTCACACCATAAAATATTCTACACATAAATCAATAAATTTTTTAAAAATTTCAACCACACATTCTTTAAAAAATACTATTCAAACTCTATATTTTCTCCCAAAATGGAAGACACACAAGCTCTATATAATTTCTAATTAACTTTTTAATGGGGAATATTCGATGGATAGCTGTTTTTTATAATATTGTTAAACCTTTGCCTTCAAGACTGGCTATGTAGAAGCCAACTAAGCAAAAAAGTTGAGCACTCCATTGCACTTCGCATCGCATCTTCAACATGTCTCTTCTAAGTCGAGATGCTTCACTTGGAGCATTACTATTATTCGAGGTGATGAATCACCTCTATGCTGCATCTTATATCCGAGTCAATGCGCATTTGTGGCAGGTCTCGTTTCTATCATGTTGTATAAGTACAATGGCAAAGTGATTGATGTGACGACTCTACAATAATGGTGCCCAACCATATAATAATATCTCAGCCAATATTCTAGCTACGGTAGCCAGAGGCCAACAATGGTTTTAGATTGATACAATTTATCATGAAAAATGAGTCATTAGGATGAGGCCACATATCAAGCATTTAGAAGTCCCTCTTTCACTTGGAAATAATTGGTCCCCTATTAACCTAAAGTGATACTTTGAATTTGCAAAAATCTACAACCTGGTAAGTTCAATATGTCTCCCATACCTAATATTCTTTACCGTGTCTTGATTGTTAGAGCGTGTGAGCTATGATTTGTTCAATCTAACATGGCTCTAAAAGTATGCCAAAAATATACACATGGATGGAAAAGGAGCTGAGATCTATTGACAATTGGATATCGTCGAACTCGAAGGTCAACAAATTGATTTCATCTATAGGAAACCACATTTTAACCACAAGAGAATCTCGAGATGAAAAGATTACTAAAGAGCCTATATGTTTCTCCTTGAAAAGGGTTGTTCTTGAAGAAAAGATAAGTGGAAACTTCAAAGAAATCAATTCAAGGAGATCTTCTGTTTTGAAGCCTTATTCCTTGAAAAAGAAAGAGACAACATCTTAAATCATTTTCCTTGCAAAAAAAAGATCTTCATTGTCCTCATCCTTGGCCTTATGAGTAGAAGGCCTACCATTTGAGAAAGAGCAAACCTTGTTTTAAAGAAAAAAGGGCTATTTTGAATAAAAAATGAGTGAAAGTGAAGAACATGAGATTAATATGTGATAAGCAACAAGAGAAGCTTCTGGAAATGAAATCTCAAAGGTCAAAGCTACCCAACACTAACGACCACGTCACTGAAGAACTAGAAGGGCTGCTACATGCCTCAGAACAAATATAGCAGACATGGTTACCAACACGAGTCACCTCTACCAAATGTAGGCACAAGAAAATATACACATGCCCCAGACATACCACACCCTGGCTTCTTCTAGCCCATCATCAAGGTTCACGGAGAAATCAATAGGAAGTGAAAAATGGTTGTCCCTAAAATATGAGGGAAGAAAAATCAACCCCATTGAAATAGAGGTGGAATGGATGTTTCTTAGAGTCGCCCAAGGGTCTGTCCTAGTGTAGGCTTATTCAACAATATGGAAGGGGCCTTTCTATCCCCTTAGGACCAAGATCGAAGATTGTCAGGCCCTTTAGTGTCTTTGACAAGTCTAGAAGTTAGAAGTGTACAAATTAGCCTCAAAACGATGTTGTGCCTATAAATAAAGTGATAACAAAAAGCTATCAAGATGGAGGTATTTGAGCAAGCTAACCATATTCAACCTTCTCCACCTTAATACAGGCAAGATGAAGTCGGACCATCAAGGTGTATCGAAGAAGAATGATAATGATGTCAATCTTCCATTTTCTAAAGAGATCAAAATAGCATTTGTTCGCCTCTTTCCCAAAACTTTTTATGGTTCATATCCTCTATACGTGGATAAAGGCAACCCAGAAGAACATTTCAAAACCTATATAAAGTAGATAGGTCTAAGAGATATCTCAAAAAAAAAAAGGTTAAACCCCAATCTTAAGGGGCCACCGCCACGTCCCTGGAGTATCGTGAGAGAGGTTAATTGCGGGATGTGCCACAGTAGGCCAGAGAACAAGAGCTGCCTGTACACTGGTACTCATAAAGAGTCACAATCCATATTTTAAGAATCGAACCCTCACTCTGCGGCTACCAGTAAGGTTAAGTATATCTCACCCTTGTCTTTTGTACCACTGAGATATGCCCCAGGGGGCATCTAAGAGATATCTCTCTCACATTGAAATGAAGAGATTTCTAATAACCCTTTCAAAGGGACAAAAAGATGGTAAAATAAGCCTCGTCTAGGGAGCATCAGAAGTGCCTGGAGTTGAAGAGGTAGTTCGTCGACATCTTTCTTTTCTCTTGAGTTGGAGCATCCCCAAAGAAACACTTCCACGACATAAGACATGTAGAAGGCGCGTCACTAAAAAACTACTTAACTCAATTTACAAATGAGATGATCAACTAAGGACCTCGTAGATTTATGGATGGACTAACGAATAGCAGAATATCTCGATGCTAGAACTCATTTTTCTACCCAATAAGGACGATACTTTAGATTTTACTTGTATGGAACATAATTATATTTTCAATAAATAAAAAAGTAGATCTTACTCATTAATATCTTGGAAATATTTAACCTTAGTTAGGAAAGTCAAACAGACTCTCATACGAGCTTTGCCCTAAAAGATTATTAAACATGCGCTCATATTCTAGAGGGAAGTTCTCATACAAAAATCCAATTAACTATGATAGTTGGTAGATCTTATTAAGAAGGATACTATAAAGAAATGAAGATATTTTGAAGCTAGAATCAACGTAGCCCTAGGGTCCACCTGAAATCACAGCTCTCCGACCAATCAACAATTGCTAGTCTACTATGTGAGCAAGGCCCTCCTATGGGTCTAGACTCACTACTCCGATATGGAGAAGTTAGCTTTATCATTTTTTATCACTTCCCATAAAGTTGAGATCGTATTTCCAATCTCATAAATTCCATGTGTTCTCAAATATTCGACTTAATTAGGTGCTGTAGAAGCTAGATGCCTTCGAAGAACTAATAAAATGGGCCATTAAGCTAAGTCAGTTTGACATTTTCTTCAAGCCAATAACCTCTGTTTAAGGATAAGTTCTTGATGATTTTGTAGTTGAGTTAGTTGAGTTAGCCAATGTCCCTGAAATAGATGTAACAATGAATCCCATTAATATACCTACCTGGCACCTTTTTATTAATGGACCATCCAGAGAAGCTGACTCTATGGCAGGAACAGTTTGATAAGTCCAAAGATTTTTCAATTTAATTGTGCAATGAGGTTTGGTTTCGAATCCTCCAACAATGATGTTGAAAATAAAGACCCTCATTGTCGAGCTTAGACTGGCCTGTAAAATACAATTAAGAGTTTGCTTGCCATTAGCAACTTTTAGCTTGTTGTAAGCCAAGCTAATGACAATTTCATGCTGAGAGAAAGCATCATGATAGCTTACCTAAGATAAGTGAATGAGTTCTTGACTCATTTAAAAAGCTTAAGCTTACACTAATCCACGAGAAGTACGCCATTGTTTTGAGGGTTAAAGTTCCTACACTGCCTCTGACACCACTGACCTATGTTACCCGACACGACGTGTACCTATTAATTTGGTTACTGTTCTTGATGTAAATGAGAGCATGAGCGGAGCCAAGCTTTAAATGCCGAAATGAGCAGCGTGTTTTCTTTTTTCCTCTCTCAGCTTGACTGATCGGCTTTGTATAATGATTTGGTACATGGAAGGCTGGCTGTGGTCCTATGATTTTCTAATTTTGATTTGGTATGGGGGATGGGTTTTGGAAAAGATAAAGGATGCGTAGGGTGGGTGTTTTGAAAAAGATGAAGATTTGGGTTGGGGGAAGGTTTTCAATTCTATATTTTTTCTGTTCATTATTCTATTATTTTAATTGTTAATATTTAGAAAAAATGTAAATTTAACCTTTTAAAAGAATAAGGATTGAGGATGACTTCCTCCTATGTCTGTTTGGCTGATGTAAATCAGCTAAATTATGGATTTGGAATTGTGGTTGGTTCAAATAAAATATTTGAGTAAGGTCCTCGAAAATATGAAAGATTTAGGATCATAGCTAACCAACTCTTTGTTCAACATACGTAAAATTTAAACTAATTCTCTTAAAATCAAATTGATAAAGATCACTGTCAAATTTTGAACGAAAAGACATAAAAAACACTTTGGACGCAGTTCTATCGTATTGACCTCAACCATGTTTGGCTAAGCATGAAAGTAATATTTTAAAACAACTTCTTTTCAAAAATATGTTTGGAAAAGAATTGTTGGAGTGACCGTTACATTCTATTTGGAACCGTCCAAATCTGAATGCCCTAATTTCGAATCTAAATGTGCGTGGTAGTAACTAGGAATCATACTGTAGCTAACTAGCTAAATTTAATACACTCCAGATAACTCTTAGGCTCGTCTTTGTTTAACAATCATCATTGATTGCATAGGCTGTGCTCGAATATTTTCGTCTCATGCCGTGGAATATCTCACACGTCCATTGCCGCCACAACCCTTTGATTGATGGTTTTAAGGAATAATTGCAGCTGTAATTCCAAATCTTTCATTGTTTTGCAAACTTTACTAAACCTTCATTTGTAATAAACAAAGTTCCATTTAATCATCAGTTAATTAGAAAAATAAAAATCTGACATCTTTTGACAAAGGACCGTACTGTGTGCATAGCTCGACACACAACACGATTGACAGTCTCCTCACATCGGAGGGGGCTGCACACATTAAAAAAAAAGAAAAATTTGAGGTGGGGCCCCCTCATTGTGAGGGGGCTGTGAACCATCTGGTTTAATCCTTTGACAAATTGTAAAAGGGTAAAAATGTTAAATTTACATTTTCACAAATATTAACAATTAAATTAAAAGTAAAAGGCCCGTTCCCATGCCTCAGTCGCCACCCCCACCCTACCTCAAATCTTCGTCTTTTTCAAAACATCCAATCCCCAACCCAAATCAAAACCAAAAACGCATCCGACCACCGTTGATCACATGGAAAGATATCCCTTTACTAGCCAATATCCAGAAACTTCAAGAACAAATAGAAATTGATGAAACCAAACATGATAAGAGTGTTATAATCTACAAAAATTACCTAACAAGAAATAAGAGCATTTAATGATGAGCCATAGGTTTTAGCAGATGCAAAAATTACCCATCCAATTTCGAGCAATGGTTCTTACCTACAACACAAAGATGATATGGAGGTAATTTTATTGGTTGAGGTTGTTGTTATTTCAGCGACATATGCCTTTATTGGTTGAGGTACGTACACCATCGTTTTGAGGGTTAAAGCTCCTATATTGCCTTTACACCACTGACCCATGTCCTGTACCTGACGCGACATATGCCTATTGATTGGTTACTGTTCTTGATGTAAGTGAGAGCATGAGCAGAGCCAAGCTTTAAATGCTGAAACGAGCAGTAGGTTTTTTGGTTTCCCCTCTCAGCTTGACTGATTTGCTACTTGAAGGGCTGGCTATGGTTCAATGATTTTCTAATTTTGATTTGATTTGGAGGGTGGGGGTATTGGAGAAGATAAAGGATGGGTAGGGTGTATTGTTTTGAAGAAGATGAAGATTTGGATTGGGGGAAAGATTTTCAATTCTATTTTTATTCATATTTTTTTATTTAATTATTCTAATTGTTAATATTTAGAAAATATGTAAATTTAACCCCTTTTAAAAGAATAAATCTAGATATACATTCTTGTTGACATTAAGAATCAAGGATGATTTAGCCTCATTTAAATCCAATACTTATAAGAATGAGAATGAAAAAGAGAGGGAGAAAGAAATAAAGTCAAATATGATGGTTTGATGTTATTGATAACAGTCATATTTTTCATTTTGTGGTCAAAAAAGATAAACAAATGGGGCCTTAATCTTGTGTGTTAAAATTAGGGATGATGATTTACCCCGTCTCGAACGGGTTGGCGGGGCAGGGCGGCCCGTCCCGTCTCGTGAAGAAAAAAATAAAATTAAAAAATCAAAAATAATTTTATTTCTAAACAATTTACCTGTTAAAAATTGATTTTGAATTTGTATTTTATTTTCTAATAATAATATAATTCGAAACTTTCAAAATGTAAAAAAATAATAATAATAAATAAAATTAAACGAGGCAACAAATGGGGCACAAAGTTGTCCCATCCTCGCCCCGTCTAATGCGGGGTGGGGCACGGAGTGGGGTTTTGGCCAAGCGGGATGGGGCGAGGCACCCCATCTGGAACCTGCCTCATTGTTATCACTGGTTAAAATTCAGGGACCGATGTAATGCAACTAAATTAAAGATTTAGAATTGTGGTTGATTCAAATAAAATATTTGAGTAAAGTTTATGAAAAAATGAAAGATTTAGGACCGTAACTACAATTATCCCTTGTTTTAACAAACAATTCTTTGTTCAACAGAATTAAAATTAAAAATAATTCTCTTAAAATCAAATTGATAAAGATCACTGTCAAATTTTAAACGGACAAATATAAAGACACTTTGGACGCTGTTCCATCTGATTGACCTCAACAATGTTTGGCTAAACTTGGAAGTATTATTTTAAAACTTCTTTTCAAAATATGTTTGGAAAAGAATTTCTGGAGTGACCATTTCATTCTGGTTGGAACCGGCCAAATCCGGATGCCCCACTTTCGAATCGAAATGTGCATAGCAGTGACTAGGGATCATACCTGTAGCTAACTAGCTGCAGAGTATGGTTGAAACTGAAAAGAGAAAGAAAAGGTTTGTGTAAAACGACAGTTGAATTAGTGCCTATAAAGTGTTTGTTTTAAAGCTGCTGAGAAGTGAGAACTACCGAAAAGTACCAAAAAAAACTCACTCAAAATCTGTCGTTTCTTTGTTTTCTCCATTATTTTGACAACAGTCTTTTAACACTGTACACAAACCCCAAGCTGACATTGTGGCCCATTGTCAGGTTTCTACTTTAACCACTGCACTTCCACCACACACACAAACTACGTACTCCCATATGAAGAAAAATACGAAAACAACCCCTATTTATTACATATGAATAAATAAATAGCTTCTCCATATGTGTCTTTGGTATCCCTATATTAATGCATGTGGTATTCATTAGACTATCTTAGTAGGCACTGATGAACGGGTTCCAGACAACAAGAATGGAACTTGGTTCAGCCTCTGCTTCTTCTTCTTCATCTACTTCTGGTGGGTCAGAATCACTCAATGGCTTGAAGTTTGGCAAGAAAATCTACTTCGAACATGTAGGTGTTGGAGTGCAGGACAAATTTGGTGGTGGGCCGCCTTCACTGTCGCCCAAGGCCGCAGGACTGCCTCCCCCATCACCTGCCAAGAAGAGGAGAAGCGGCGTGGTGCAAGGTGGCCAGCCACCAAGGTGCCAAGTAGAAGGGTGTGAGGCAGATCTGAGTGGTGCTAAGGCTTACTATTCAAGGCACAAAGTGTGTGGTACGCACTCCAAGTCCCCAAAAGTCATTGTTGTAGGCCTTGAGCAAAGGTTTTGTCAGCAATGCAGCAGGTCAGCTTTGTTTTTTAATTTCCTCTTTTCTCCTTTTTAAAAAGAAAAAAAGTACATCCTTTACCTTATTTAAATGTATACGCATGAGCATGCACACAATAACTTAATTACGGATTTTGTGTGCACACTTGCATATAGTTTATTTGCTACTTTTCTAGAATAATCCTTTTTTTTTCCCCCAGTTTAGTTTCATTTTATTGTGTGGATAATATTTTTGTTGAATTTGATTGTTTGTGTCAAACTCCTTGTGTTAAATTTGTCACTAAAATGGTGTGAATGATCACAAACTTGCAGTAGACTCTCTGCCCGGGACTTGGTTTTGTTGATAGTGTTGCTATTCACTTCCTTATCCGAAGGCTTTTTAAAATTTATTCAAGATTTCGGTTGTGACAGTGGTGAACTTTAGTGGCATGTTAAGATTGACCATAAAATATTGGAAAAGACTAAGAAAGAAAAATAAGCTGAACTTTTGTTCATTGTATTTTTAGGTACCATATTGATGGAGATCAAGATAAGAATAAAGAATGAGTTATAGTTTAAATAGAAGTTTAAAATAGAGTTTAATTTCAATTAGATTAGATTAAATTTATTTTGACATAATTATAGTTTATTAGAAGTTTGTTTTCTTCTTAACTTCTTCTTAGGTTATTTGCTCCAAAAATAGAGGGGTTTATTCATTGTAATTAATAAAGATTGATTTTCTTCTTGTCTTCAAATTTTCTCTTCTCTGGCCTCCGTTTCTTTTTGTTATTTCTCTTGTTTATTAACAAATTATATGCTCCTGCATCAATTTGGTATTAGAGAAATTCGTTCTCATTTGACCTGTGCCTTCTCAAATCCAAACACCCCACCTCACCTTTTTCATCCAATCCATACACTCCGTAACCTTTCAATACCCATCCAAACTATATAATCACTTTCAACCAACCTTAGAATAGCAGAAAATACAAGAATCCTATTGGAAGCAGTAGCAGTTCTTACTTCGTTCTAGTGGTTTACATAAGTTTTAAAAAAAAAAAAAAAACTTCGGAATTGTTTACTGGACAATAGTAGTGCAATTTAGGCTTCAAATGTTTCGTGATTAGTTGCCTACATAAAGAATGATATTGTAGGACATGAAATATTTACTACTTTTCTATGGGTTTTAGACTTTTAGTGGGTGCCTTATGACAGTAAATTTAGCTACCAATCCTTTGTTTTCTTGTGCTATGCTGATTGTTTGGTGATCTTTCAATAGCTAATATGTTATTTCATAAGTGATGCAACATTAAAAGAGATTTTAATATATTTAGTTTTTAGTTTTAAAATTTATTTTACGAAACATTATTGTGGCTGATTTACTAGCTTTTATTAGATATTTCTTTCTTAGAATAGAATCTTTAAAACCTATATAAAGGAATCTTTTACATTGTAATAAGGACAACTTTTGAATGAATAAATAATTGATATTTTCTTGCCCTAATTCGCTCGTCTCTTCCCTTTCGTCTATCTAACTCCTCTCCTTTCTACCTCTATCATTCTATCTCCTTCCTTTCTCTTCTTCTCCCCTCTTTCCTCTTCTCCTATAATTCTCTTTGTGCATCTTACGTTAATTTGGTATAAGAGCTCGACTCATTTCCTTTGACCAATATTAGAAGAGATTTTTATTATATCTATTTTCCGGTTTTAAGATATATTTTATGAAACATTATTATAGCTGATTTACTAACTTTTATTAGATTTTTCTTTCTTAGAATAGAATCTTTAAAACCCTATATAAAGCGGTCTTTTGCATTGTAATAAGGACAACCTTGGAATGAACGAATAATTGATATTTCCTTTCCCCAATTCTCTCTTGTCTCTTCCCTTCCATATGTCTAACTCTCCTCCCTTTTTTACCTCCCTCATTCTATCTCCCTCCTTTTGAAAGCCCAAAAATAGCTAACCAAGAGGGGGTTGAATTGGTTTTTAAAACTTTTTCGAAAATTAATCCAAATTTAAGTAAGTTGAGAATGAATAAGTTAATCAAACAAAAATGTACAAGTATGAAAGCAATAAGTAAAAGATATACAAACAATGTAATTGTGGAGGTTTGATCCAACTAATGATTTATGTCCTTTGTTACCAAACTCTATTGGTGATCTCATATTCCGAGATCTATATTTTCCTTGAGCCACATATGCAACAGGAACCGGTGCAACGTGATTTTGCTGTTGCTCCAAAGAGGTACGAGTTATAAGACGCTGCTTCTCTCTAAGTAGTTTACCCAAACAACCATCAAGTGTTGGAATAGTCTCACAATTCATGAGACTGGACCTAATGGATTCTAATTCAGACCGTAATTTCAAGAGAAATTGTTCTCTCTTGGTGATCTTGTATACAACTTGGACAGCCTTCAAACTGTCAGGTGAAACCAAAGCGTAGATGATATTTGTGTACTCAGCCCAGAGATTAGAAAAAGCAGAATAATATTTTTCAATAGAACGAGAATCTTAATAAAAATTCACCAATCCAAATTCCAGTTGACACTACAAAAAATAACCGATTTCGCGACAAAAAAATGTTGTTGCAAAAATTGAAATTTTGTTGCAAAAGTAATTAAGCGACGACAGTATTTTTGTTGCAGGTATTGTCGCTCTATATGAGTCACAGAATGTGTTCTGCGACGACTTTCGACCATTCAACGCATCAACAAAATCGTGACACTATTTGTTTGATGTAGAAAATACAAAATGGCAACACAATATCTATAGCCATAATGTCATGGCAATGTATATATGTCGCAAAAAATTTAGGGGGCGGCAAGTCAATTCGTTGCAACGAATATTCCAATAAAGTTTATACAAGAAATATGCTTGTTGCGAATGTTGAGTCACGAAATGTATTTTGCGACAACTTTTGACCAATTCAAAATCGCAGCACTTCTTATTGCCGTCGAAAATACGAAATAGCAACAAAAGAGTCTATAATGCCAACAAGAGTAATCAACTGGAAATTTCTAATATATTGCTGTGAATAGAATGACACTGGGATGAATATAAAACTGAGAATTACAGCCTTGCAACAAGACTATTTTATGTGAATAAAAGATAATTACTGAAAGGGAAATGATATTTGGGTGTTTGAGAGACCCAATACTCTCCACGAGATTTTTCCTCAATTTTCTGTTTGCCCATACGGTTATTCTCTACCTATATTTATAGTATACTTCTAATAGATTTGTCTAACTAATTTTCCCTTTTAACAGACTTTAGTTTTCCATCCACTTGCAGAGTATTCCTCTTTTGGGTCTTTCTAGAATGAGTGAGGTGGATTGGAGCCTATCAGAATGCTTCCATCAATATGTCCCCACAGATTTCCTTTTCCTTCAACTTACAACTGAAAGTGAAATGCCCATGAAGAGTAGTTTTTTCCAGTAAAGCGAATGCAGACAGAATCAGTTTATCAATTGACATGATGAAATCGTATACAAATCAATCCAAAACTTATGAAACCCGTGAACTAATGCCCAAACAAATTCGACTTCAATAACAATAAGCCCAAGATGAATTAACTTGGCCTAACAAAAATTAATTCAAATAACAATAAGCCCAACTAGAATAAACTTGGCCCAACCAACTAAGAACCCTAAATACACACCACAATCCACATCCAAGTCGATTCCACCGACAGATACTCACAGTCGACGCGAGGCAAAGAGGAGAAACTGAAATTCCTCCAACCAAACTGAGATTCCTCCGACTAGAAGAGGGACAATGACGTTGGAGGTCTAGGCAACTACTATCGTTGGAACACGTTGCAATGACAAGAAACAAACCATGAAGACACCTGAACTATGAATCCTGACAGCAGATGCGGCCAACCGAGCACGATGCTATTATCAAAAACTCAAACGGCGCTGACAAACGTTAGGTTCGACCACCGACGATGCTAACTATATAACGTGAGAACACAAGAGCACGGGATGGCACCGGGAGCGCAAGACTATGACCGCAAGTTCGAGAATTTTAGGGCTCTGCTACCATGACACAATTTTGGTTGAATGCCTTTTCTATATGTATTTCCTTCCAATTTATAGAATAATTACATAGGTATAAAAGGTAAGAAAATAAAGAAAGTAATTTCCTAATTCTATCGAGGAAAGACGAATCATAATCACACCTTTAATACTCCAAAAAAACATGACTATATTTTTGTTATAGTGGATCGTTTCTCAAAAATGGCCCACTTTATTCCTTGCAGTAAGACTTCAGATGCATCTAAGGTTGCCAGACTCTACTTTAATGAGATTGTTAAGTTGTATGGTTTTCCTAAGACAATGTGTCAAATAGGGATGTTCGGTTTACTAGCCACTTTTGGAGAATCTTATGGCACATGGTTGGCACTAAGTTGAAATTCTCTACTGCATATCATCCTCAGACTGATGGTCAAACTGAAGTTGTTAATTGCAGTCTTGGCAATCTGTTAAGGTGTCTAGTTCAGGAAAATCTTAGGAATTGGGATTTAATCATCCCTATAATCCAAATTGTATATAACAGTTCTGTGAATTGGTCTTTAGGTATGAGTCCTTTTGAAGTTGTTCATGGTTATAAACTCAAGAAGCCTTTAGACCTTATCCCTAATGTGTTTGTGTCAGGTGAGGCATTTGTACAACATCTTCATATTTGCATATTGAGATCGATAAACAACTAAAGGCAAGTAATGCATCATATAAACTTTGAGCGGATTTGCATAAACTACATATTGAATTTAATATTGAGGATTATGTGATGATCTGAATTAGATCGGAACGGCATACATCTGGATCCGCTTCCAAGTTGCAAGCCCATAATGTTGGTCCTTTTAAAATTTTAAAGCGTGTTGGTCCAAATGTGTATGTCATTGATTTTCCATCACATTTTGGCCGTCACTCTACTTTCAATATTGAGGACTTTGTTGCTTATAAAGGCTATTTTAATTCCTCCGATGATCATTTTTTACCTCCATGTATGGACCTTCAACCTCAATTTGTTGCTACCCCT